AATAGTACATTTTAGTGATTATATTCAAAAATACTTTCTATGTATAAATACAGAAAACCTTTTATTGTTTTAACACATATTATATTTATAAATTAGTCTTTTTTAAATTATTAAATAACTTCAATTTATTTAATATGAAGTCTTTACTGCTATTGGCTTTGCTTTCAATAGTAAAAGCAAACGATTTCAGTATTGATGGCTACGAAGAGGTGAAAAACTCGCGAAACTTTACGGGAAAAGTAGTTTTGGTGACCGGAAGTAGTTCTGGCATTGGGGAGAGTATTACGAAACTATTTTCAGTATTGGGCGCCAGTGTTGTGGTCACCGGTTTGAAAGAGGCGGACGTTCAGAGAGTGGAAAAACTTCATATAAAAATAAATTGAAGTTATTTAATAATTTAAAAAAGACTAATTTATAAATATAATATGTGTTAAAACAATAAAAGGTTTTCTGTATTTATACATAGAAAGTATTTTTGAATATAATCACTAAAATGTACTATTCTGTAATAAAAATATGCTTTATAATATCTGTAGTGCATCAATTGTACTAGTTGATAAACATTGGGTGCATTAGTTATGATTTATACAGTATTACCGGACCAGTGTTTGACAAATTAAATATTTTATTTTTAATACTGTACAATTTTTATTAGTGATTTAAATTTTACAATACTGTATAATATAACTTGAGCAATTAAATAAAAATATTTATTTATAAGGAAACTCACCAAGATTACAGTACAAATTAGTTGAACACTAGAGCACTTGTTTAACATTAGATAACAAAATAACAAAAATAAAATGAGACCCGGGTTCAATTCCCGGGGCGACCTTTTACGGTAATACAAGTTGTCTTTTCAATCATTTCTAATACTTTCCACTCATTTATCTGATATAAAAACAAGTTATTGAAAAAAGATGACAAAAAAATCAAATAAAATGATTGAAAACAACAGGTAATAGAAAAAGTTTAAATTGAAAATAATGATGGATTAACGAATAGCTATATCTTCCGAGTCATCGCAAGCAATGGCAAAGTCTTTGGCAATCAATTCGAGAGCGATATTCAAATGCATAACATTTGGATTGTCGTTCCGGTCATCACTCGACTCTTCATTACTACTAATGTCTCGATTCTTATCAATCAAATCAATACAATACATCTCGTGTTTGCCATCAATTATCTTCATTTCAATCACTTTAGCGAATAAAGGCTTCCATTTCTCCAAATGTGATAACTCTTTAAACTTCTGAATCGACTGTTGAGACCAATTCAGGTGATCATTGGGTTGAACACCATATAGTGAACAACACATCGCTTGAAATGGAAGTCTCCTTAAGAACTGATCGTTAAGAGTACAGATTTGGTTGTATTCGAGCACTAATTGGTTGCCATAATCCACATAAAAGACATCAACCATTGATTCCACTTCTGACTCGAGAGAGGTTTCGATGGCCACCACTCGAGCCCTATACCAGTGGTCGTCGTAAGGGAAGGGAACGGCAACGATGTCTCCCATTCGCACAGACGTCGGCTTAATGCAGATCCTATTGTCTTCATTGCTATAGAAAGCAGTGATCTCTTCGACCAATAGATCCAAGTGTTGAGCGCCGGCGCCACCGATTTGGACGTAGAACTCGTCGGGACTCTTGACGGCCGACACAAACACTTCGTTACCACCGATGCGATTGAGTCGCGAGAAGTAATGATCCAAATCTAGTGGTGAATCACTGGCCTCTATATCAATGGTAAGTGGTTTGGTGACGGGTATTGCCATTTGGCTATAGTTTTGTTGGCATCTGTTTTGCTGACTATTTCTTAAAGCGATTTCTTTGTTCATGAGTTCAAACGCTTCCTCTATTTGCTCATCAGTTCCGGTGATGTCCAGAGAAGTCATCACTGGATTCGTTTGTTTGCTCTTTGGCTCCACTTTGATCTGAGCGCCAGATTTGTCGCGAATACTCCTATGGTTTAGGAATTGTAATCATTAGTCAAATGTCTTCAGGGATCAGATCAATGGCTATCACGTACTGAATGGTGAGACCATTCCTACCGATGATATAACCGACCGAAGAGGTCTCCACTTTGAATGATTTAGTTTAGGAATTGTAATCATTAGTCAAATGTCTTCAGGGATCAGATCAATGGCTATCACGTACTGAATGGTGAGACCATTCCTACCGATGATATAACCGACCGAAGAGGTCTCCACTTTGAATGATTTGGTGGTAACCGAAGACTGCTGTCGTATGATCTCATTGATAATCATCTCAGCCCTCGCCGTCGCCTCAACTGATCCCTTGATCACCACAAGTCGACTCCTATTGAGTCCATTGCCATCGCCATCATCTCCATCGCCACCACCACTGCTGTAGTGGTCATCAAATCTGATCCTCGTATTGGTGTCCGTCTGGATCTGTCGCACGCGTTCACCGCCCCTTCCGATGACGGTTCCCACA